CACTTTCGTCTTATTAGGGTCAAGTACACTTGCCCATGGTCATCCAAAACCAAATGTCACTGTCTCAGTTCACCATGATGAAGATGTTCCTCGCGGCGCTGGGCACGTCCGTCGTGTCCAAAGCCATCTTCCACGCCCTACGACCAAATGACTTCGAAGCCATCCAGCGGAAGCGGGCGGCTGACCCGAGTCACGCGGTGGTGCTGGCTACGGGGGGCCTCCTTCTCGGCATCGGGATGGACATCTCGGGCTCGTGTCCGGGCTCCGTGTATGTGCAGCTGGGCGCCGGGATCCCCACTGCTTTGCCGGTGTTTGGGGGGGTCTTGGCTGGCTCCCTGCTCGCCTCTGCACTGGCTAAACCAATGGTATAGTTCAAATAGTTTTCATGGGTTATCATTTCTTCGGTGCAGATTGGTCGGTGGCAGGACGAGAAGGCCAAGGTCAAGAGATTTGTGGCGCTGCCGTGGATGGCTCATGCATTTGTGGGGTTGTTCATCGTTGGACTTGCTGTCGTACTTGAAGTCCTCGTGCCGGAGGACCCTTTGCCATCTGCCGCGTGGCTACCGAGCATAGCGGGGGTAGTGGTGGGCAGCCTGCAACTCCCCCTGGTGTTGGTACTCCGCCGATCTCTCGGGGCAACGCAATCCTACGAGTCCGTCCTCGGACTGGGGATGTACCCCATTCGAAACACCAGTGCCGGCAAGCGCCTCAACGTCCCTTCAATCTCGGACCTCTCCACTTTGCTGTTTGTCGTGTTTATCGTCGCTGGATCGGCTGTAGCCACGGTCACCTCCACCCCCCCTCTCCCCCTTGGCCCCCTTCCGTCGGTGTCAGCGTCGTTAGTTGGTGGGGCGTTGATCGGGGTAGGGTCCACAGTTGCCTGCGGGTGTACTTCTGGCCACGGACTGTCTGGAGTGGCCTTGCTCATGATATCGTCGCTGATTGTCCTGCCCTTCATCTTTGCAGGTGGTATTGCCACTGGCCTCGTGCGAAGCCTCCTCGTCGTGTAGCCGCATACTAATAGCAATGCTATGTTTATACTGTGTTTACTGTTCTGGGTGATACTTCTACCCGAGGATTCAGCCATCCATGTTTACCGCTTCGTTAACAGATTGTTCCCGTTGGCCATTGATTCCCAATTCAACCATCCACTCCCATGGGTTGAAAGGTGAGGGAAAGTTCTTAAGGGAGAATCCTCTGCATGTGAAACCGATTCTAATTTTAATCGACAATCAACAACAGGCATGGCCAGACGCAAGCGCAAGCGGTCATTGAAGACGACGACGAGGAATCTGTCTCTAGTCCGTCGATTCTGGGTAGCATGCTGAGTTTGGACGAAGAGTTGAACGGGGGGGGTCGGAACCAACCAAATCGCCCCGCAAGTCGCACATTCCTATTTATGACCCCGAGTCTTCTCCCACAAAGTCCCCACGTCCCCCTAAACGCAAGGCATATCCCCCCCATTCCCCCCAAAGAAGAACCTATCGAACCATCGATTCTGCACAGTTCGACTGGATTTCCCCAACCATGTCACCGGCAGCGCCTTGTTCTCAACACCTAATCTCACCAAAGTGAAATGCCACCGTCAATATAACAGAATTTGCCGTGAGGTGGTCCACAGCTGCTGTTTCTGTCGCCCATCCCGTACTACTTTTGCGTTTGTATTAACTCTGCTAACCTGGACGGGTCAGTAAGATCAGTGATTTGCCGAGCTGCATTACCCAATAGAATTCAAGAATTGATATGATTGGATAAAATAAAAGCCTGCAACAACTAACACCTTAAGAGCATCTCCACCGCGTTTTTCATCAGCACGAGTAAGGTATCCGCTTTAAGAATCACTATTGCAATGAGCAAAGGATCCCCTCCATCGAAGGTATCACGGAATGGTGCCCAAGCGTACAGTTCATGCACAAGTGTCCCTCTTGTGCAGTTTATTGTTGGAGTCGAGAAATGGAACGTCAACTTTACTGTTAACAACACCCACGTGATTTTGAGTCGAAGGGCTAGTCGAGTGGACAACCTCAAGGCCTTTTAGGTTGCCTAGGAGTAACCTTACAGAGTATTTTCGAAACGTTACTGTGTCTCCATGCTACACGGTGCTGGGAGTTTGAAAACCACGAACCACAGATAGTACCAAGGACATAAAAAACAAATTGACTTTGAAGTCGAGCTCAAGGCACCTGATCTCCACAAGATGGCTTGGTGGGCGTGACGTCTCAGCCGTTGAACACGGTCACTTCCTTGGCGAATTGGTTGAAGGCTTTGTACACTTCGAGGCCGCGTGTCTTGATGGTCGTCACATCCACGACAGAATCATGGCCGATAATTTCAAACTGCAGGACAGGCTTCTTGAACTCACGGAACGAGTAATCTTGAAACAATCCATACGACGTGAATAAGTTTTTGGCCACCGGTATAGCGGTGTACCCCCCACAGGACGCTTTCCAATCCACGGCCGAGGACGTCGAACTTCTCGTCAAACCCCCCGCCGATGGGCTGCTTATTGTCTGCGTACGGGTACAAGATGAGCCCCAAGCGTGTGTGCGAGTGAATGTCAATAAACCCTTTGATTTCATTGCGCTTGGTTTTGAGCCAATCATTGATGCCCGCTGTTTCAGGCTCACTGAACGGCTCAAGTCCAGGGTACGTGTCGTCGTCTGGGTGAATGCTTTCGGGGTTGGGCAGGCTCGGCCAGTTGCGGTTCAAGTCAACACCATTGGCATTCTTACGCTGGTACCGGATACCGTTCCACGTCTCTTCGAAGCCGTCAATGTTGACGATTGGCACAAAGTACAAGTCGTACTCGTCGGCGGCCGTGGGGTTCTTGTTGGCAATGTCATCCAGAATCGACGCCAACGAGAACAGAATCGACGACCCCGCGATCCATTCGCGGGCATGTTGCAGGGCTTGAAAGTACAACGACTGCGAGTGGCCCTTGGTCAGCTTGTAACCGTAAATCGTGGCCCCATTGTACGTCTTGGAGATGGCAATCTTGCTCAGCAACTTCGGGTTTTGTTCGACCAAGGTGTCGGTGAACTCGTAAATTTGGTTGAGGGTGCGGAAGCAGTTGTGGAACGCACTGGTCGAGTACTGACCGGCTTTGAGGGACGCGATGTAGTTGCCGTTTTGTTTGTGACACTCGCGGTTCAACTCGGCATCGTCTACTTCATCGTCTACTTCGAGAATAACCTCCTGCAACGTTCGAGCGCGGCCGTTGATGTCCGCAATGGTGTTGTTAGTTTGGGCGGTAGCCGCCGCCGCGAAGAGGGCAATGGCACTGAGGAGGGAGACCTTCATGGCGAAATGAATAATGAGGAAGTATTGCAGGCTACCGAAACGCCCTCGACAGGGTTCGTGATGGTGTGATAGGAAGTTGGATGGAATTCTCAGACCCATAGAAGGGTGTAATGGCTTTTTTTGCTTC